CAAACTTAAGCAGCATAAGTGACGGGATTATAACAGCCTTGGCACTATTCAGGGTTGGGCGACCCAGAATCATGTTGTAGGCAGAGAGTTCCTCTACAACTAGGAATCGGACTACCATGTGTCGTCCTTCCCCTTTTTCGCCCAGGCGGACGGGTAGATCAACTCGTCCCAGTGGGTGGACGACTCCTCCTCCAAACCCTATTAAAGGGTGGGAGGCCGGATGTATGCAGTCCGTCTGATATTTCAGTTTTGACAGACATTTGCTGCTGATGAGATCTGAAGAGCTCCCAGTATCTATGAGGATTCGACCAACTCTCTGGTTGGCCACTTTACATTCAATAACGAGAGGGTCGTCATGCGGCCCCCTTATTCCTCCTAGATCCTCTTCAGTGATGACAATCTCAGGAAATGTATATTTGGACGGTCGTTCTTGGTGAACGGAATTTACATCTAACCGCCTTATATTATCTTTGTTGCCCCTAATAGTGGGGCCGCCTCCTGAGAAGCCGCCTGCAATGGTGTAGACGACTGCATCATCTGTATCGGAACTGTCGGCCTGTTGATTCTTTTTGGCCGACTGCTTTTTTGAGGAAGTATTCCCCGTAGATTTCTTGACATAAGTGTCAAGATCACCTTGATCAGCCAAGCGGTCTAGGTACCGCATGAGACTAATGCAGTCGTTGGTGTGATGACCAATGTCATCATGATAAGCACAGATTTTGTCTTGGTTCCGGTTGCTCGCAGAACCCTTCATGGGGAGCGGTTTCTCAATTGAGAGCCGTCCCTTTATTTCTTTTAGGATAAACTGGTTATCCTTGTTAAACACATACTTTGGGGAGTATGGTTTGAATTCCTTTTTCTTCTTGGCCGGCTGTTTAGAGGAATCAGCCGCCCAGACCCCTTTTCTTTTTTCATCTTTGTTGGACGACTGTTTCTGTCGTCCTTCTCTATTGTCGAACCTCTTCCCGTCCGACTGTTTCATTGTACACAGATCAGTCGCCTGTATATAGGCTTCTGCTTCAATCAAGGCCTCTTGAAGAGTCGCCACCCTTTTTCGAACTAAATCAAATTTGAAGGTAGACCCGTCTTTGAGACCTCTAAAAAAGTCAGTATAAGCTACCTCATCCGGTAACCCTTGAATCTGTATTCTCATCAGGTTGAACCGCCTGATGTAGGAACGAAGCCCCTCCTTTTCACCCTGCTGAATTGTTCCCAAATCAAGGGTCGTTTTCTTCGCAGGGATGTTCATTGCAAAGTTGGAGGCAAATAAGTAAGCAAGCGTCCTGAAACTGTTTACACAACCAGTCGGCAGGTTGCCGAACCATTGCTGTGCAATTCCCTTGAGAGTTGCTGGGAAACACTTGCACCAAGTGGGATCATCCAACCCTTGAAGGTACATCAGGTTGGTGAATGCCATCAGATGGTCTTCCGGGTTAGTAGTGCCATCATAGGCGCCTACTAAAACATTTTTTACTTTGGCCGGCTGAGCGGCTTCAGTAATTTCCTTGGAGAAGGCCGACGGCTGTTCACCAAGTCTAAGCAGCCGTAGCTGCCAGTCCATAGGTTGGACGTTTTTTGCTGCAGGTCCACCAAATGGAGGTGGCTGCATAAAATATTGTTGTTGCGGCACAAATGGTAAATTTGGTACCGCCTGCGCCCTATGAAAGCCAGACTGACGGGAGGTGCCGCCTGACTGACTCGCATGGTACGACTGAGTTGGCCTCATCGAGGCATTTTGCAAACTGTCCTGAAAATTTGAAGTAGAAGCCGACTCTGATAATCGGTCACTCTTCTTCTGCTCTAGCAGGTGCCGAGCATCTGTGAACGTTTGCTTTGACCCGTCCGCCTGAATATGACGAACCGGTTTCCTATTTCCCGTAGGATAACGGAGTTTTGTGAAATCAAGAGCAGACGGCTCCCGCTTCTTAGATTTAGGATGGGGAGTCGCCTCTCGCCCTTGAACTGGCTTCCTCTTCAGTGAAGTGGAAGGTTTTTTGGCCGCCTGCTCTTTGACTGAAGCAGGCGGTTTTTTGTTGATCAACTCTTGGATCTCTCCCTTGAATCCCCTCATGAAGGTCATGAGTTCGTTCCTTGTGATGGGAGCAGACCCATCAGTCGGCTGTTGCCGAGCAAGCGGTGCGCCTGCTGGCTCGCTTCCTGTTTGAAGATACTCCCGTTCCCTTATTTCAGTATGACGGGTACGGCGGGCCCTTAGGGTCCCGTCTGGAGCTGTATGAGTTTCAACTTCAAATTCACTTTCGGTATCATGGTCCGACTGAACTTGAGGGTCGTCTAGGGGACGCCTCTCTTCTGGGGTCGGTACAGACTTGGATGCCATCTCTGAAGTACTCTCCCCACAGACGGCGCCAAATGTTTCGGGGTTTTCTGATGTCCTGCGGGAGAGTTACAATTCCGAGACTGGAACCGGACGCCTGTACCTGCAAAATAACGGAGACTCCTGAGAGCTCCGCCTCCAACGGTCAAGTTAGTACCTGATTAAGGAGTAATTAATACAGAAATTAAAGTAATAAGGTCTCTCTAGGTGAGAGTATTTAATGTAGGTAATCTGCTTTGCTAGCGAGATCAGCCGGTTATTAGTGTGTTCCGTAAATTATTCGGTCCCTTGATTAATGAGGATTAATCGAGTATTTATAGCCTTGGGAAGCGTGCAACTCTCTAGGTTTAAGGTAAACCTAGAGCCGATCGGGCTTCTAGACTGAAATGGGCCTTGATGGCCGGTTGTCCCATTTGGCATGGGTGGACACGTGGCGTGTCTTAAGTGGTCCATGGAGGACGCGTGGCGGAACCTGGTTGGTCCACTTGTCAAACGGTGCTTGGTGGATAAAAATCCCCTAATCAAATATCATGTCCTTCAATTCATTTTAACTCAATTAATCTAACAAGACGGATCACGATTTGCTATGTTTTGCTTAAATTATTTAGGAAAATTTGTTAGATACTACGTTTTAAATGACATTTTTTGTCAAAACTACCTTATAAAAAAAATTCTGTGAGAAGATACCATTTAAATAAGAATTTTTGTGAGGACATACCACTCGTCGGATTTTCAAGTTTGACCTCAAAACACCGCGTTAACCAGTCATGCACCGGTCACGTGACTTCATTAAACCCAATTTTTTTTTTTTTTTCCTTTTTTCCTTATTTCTTTCCCTCATTTTTCTCACCACTTACCCTTAGTGATACCCAATACCTTCTCTCTCCTCAATTTATCTCTTCTACAAAAGCATTCAATCAAAGCTTCTTCCAGAAATTGAATCTTTGTAGAAATTACAAACGACAAGTTAGGTAATTCGAGTATGTATGTCACTTGAATTTCTGAAAATTTAAGTGTAGTGGTTGTTTGACAAATTGTGTGACTATAGTAAGGTTTAATTGGGGATTTCTGTATGTTAATATTTCTGGCCAATTCATGCAAGTCAATGGCATCTTTAAATAGCAATGGTAAGGTTGTTAGGTGCGGATGCGGGATTACAGTTGCCAAGCAAACATCATGGACTCATGAGAATCCGGGGAGGAAGTTTTTATGATGCAAATTTTACAACTTTGAAACTGGTGCAAAGGGTTGTAAGTCGTAACCTCTTTGAGTGGTTTGATGAGGATATAATTGATTGGCAAAGGGAAGTAACTAATTGCAGAGAAACATAGGCTTTGTGAGGAACTTGAGAAGATGAAGAAGAAAATTTAATTTTTGGCATCCTTTGCTACAGTGGATCGATGGAGTTATTGCAGGAGGGGATGAATTGAGGAGAGAGAAGGTTAGTCAGGGGTAAGGCCGTAAGGGGTGATAAAGATGAGGGAAAGAATAGGAAAAAAAAAAAATTGGGTTTAATGAAGTCACGTGACTAGTCAACGCCGTGTTTTTAAGGTCAAATTTGAAAATTTGGTGAGTGGTATTTCCTCGTAAAAAATTTTGTTTAAATGGTATCTTCTCACAAAAAAAAATTTATAAGGTAGTTTTTGACAAAAAATGTCATTTAAAAGGTAGCTTCTAACAAATTTTCCAAATATTTATATTACACACTTACAAGTAAATTTTTTTATAATTAAAACCTTGCATTACACGGGACTAACATAGTACTCTCTCCGTTTCGTAATAATTGCAATGGTAGGGAGTACACAAAGTTTAAGAGAGATATAGAGTAGGCTTAAATAAAATAATGTCAGTGGAACCTTTTTTTTTTATAATATAAAGTATATTTAGTATAAGAGAAATAATAATAATAAAAAAAAAAAAAAGTAGTGTAAGTGGGGTTGGTAAGAGAGAAATAATAAAATATTTGTAAAAGTAAAGGTAGGAGAGATAATTAATTAAATAATAGTGGGTCCTTATTACCAAATAAAGAAGTGTTGTAATTATTATGAAACGGACATAAAAGAAAAGTGTTGCGATTATTATGAAACAGATGGAGTATATACTATGTCGTTGTAAAAATTCTACAATGATCATCCTCAAAATGACCACCATTATTCTTAATTCTTATTGATAGATTTTTTTTTTTCGGTTTTTTCACGAAATACTCCTGAGTTTTAACATAATTCACCAAATACCGCCAACATTTTTTAAATTCACCATATATCATTCAGTTTTATACAATACCACACGGTGCCGTTTTTTTGTTAACGGACGTTAGACTACCGTTTATGAGATCTTACAAATTCACCATATACCCACTATTTGAAAACTTATTTCACCATATACCCAAAAATTATAACAATTACTTTTTTCAAATTCACCATATACCCTTCACCAGCAAAGCAGAGAAGAAGAAACCTTAATGAAGCTAAAAAAGGGAAAAGGCACAAGAACAACAAGTGCAGCCTATCCAAAGAGTTGGGGCACAATGCATTACCGTGTAAAGCAAGAAAAGAACACTATTACATAATTGGCCAAAAGAATCACTAATAAGAAACCCCTTTTATCAAATAAGGAGTTTCTTAATGAAAAAAAACCTATTTTCTCAGATAAGGGGTCTCTTATACATGAATAAAAGAAATCTTTTTAAGAGAAAAATGGTTCTTATTTATTTCGACAAATTTACTACTATTTAAGAAACACCTTTTAAAGAAAAATGGTTTCTTATGAAAAGGGGTTTCTTATATCAGCTCCCCCACTAACCCTAACTATTCTTCATTTCTCCCTTATCAGCTGCCCCCTTCTATTCTTTTCTTCTTTCTCTCTCTTACGTCCATTAAACCCTCCCTACATAAACACTACATACATGTCCTCTCTTTTTCCTCCATAGAAACCTCCTCTATCTTAGCTTTCTATTCAAACGCGCAGATCTTGAGCATTTTCTCATAGGTCTAGAATTTAAAGGAGCAATCAACGGTAAGAATAACAATTATTTTTATGATTCATTTTTTCGTCAGTTTTTTTTTCTTCAGAAATTCATTTTGATTTTTTTCCTTTAATTTTGTTTTTAATCATCATTTCTAACATATCTTACTATAGAATTTCATTTAAAATTTTTTTGAACTTGTTATCTTATTTCCGTTTAAATTTTTTAACGATCTGGTTTTAAATTATGATCTTCAACATTTTTTTATCTGGTTATATATTTCTTATTTTTTTAGTTCTCCTTTTTTCAGGTTCTTATACAATCGGTTTTTTTTCGATTATCTTTTTTAAGTATTTCTAGTAGTGTTTTCAATAAACTATGCTTAAAATCTGCTCATAATTTGAAAATTTATTTTCTTTTTTATATTTGAATTTTACATATATTCGGATTTAGATATGCTATTCATTATTGGTTTAAGATGATGTAATTACTTTTTCTATTTCAATTGTCGTTAGTATTGAGTCTAATTTTAATTTTAAATTTAGTCTTTTTTCGAAACTGTTAATACTACTATGCATATTTTGTTTTTTTTTTATATTCCTTTCCAAAAATTTTTTTTTATCTTTTTTTAATTAATTTTAAGTTCCGTTTTTGAAAAATCTTGTTACTTGTTGTAACCTTTGATTTATTAATTAATTTGGTTAATTTTGTGTGTTTTGTAGGTGGATATTGTCATTCATCAAATGAATTCAAAGAATATAAAGGCATGAAGTATATCAATTTTTGTTTGGATACGATCGCCATTTGTTTAGTAGTTATAGATAATTAGTTATTGTAAAAGTTTTTGATTATGTATCTAATTTTATAGTAGTAAATTGTAAAACAATAAAATTAAGTATATGATTCTTTTTTGTTTGAGCTTGTAGTATTAATATGTGAGATTTGTAGCTGACTTATCCTACAAAAGGCATGAAATTGAATATGTGGTATAGCTATCATATATACGAGTATAGCTGTATATAATTTATTTTTAAATTACGAACATATCTAAGAGACCCCCTATTTAGAAAGTGGTCTCTTATGTATAATATATAAAACCCCTTTTGTGAAAAAGGGGGTTCCTCTAATGCTTTGAAAAATTAATTTAGATGTATTTAAGAAACCCCTTCTGTCGAAAGAGGGGTTTCTAAAGTTGAGCAAACAAACCCCCCACAAAAGGTGGTTTCGTAACTTAACAGACCACTGAGCTTAAGACCCCCTCTAAAGTTAGGAAAATTTTATAGGGGGTTTCTTTTCATGTTTTTGTAGTAGTGGAAGCTGTAAAAAAGAAAGAACAGGCTGCCAGCACTTCAAAGCAACCTAAAGGAGGGGGGAGGAAGAGAAAGGCAAACACTCAAGCTCTCTGAGGTTTTACTGCTGCTTTTGTCATTTTTTTTTTTTGCTAACCCTTAAAAGCTTTTGTAAGAACAAATTATGTTATGAATTGCTTGGTTTGTTTGCCTAAATCAGTTTTTGGACATGAAACTCATTATGTAAGAACAAATTATGTAGTACTCCAAGTGCATATTTATGTAGCAATGATATTTTGTTTACATGACAAACTCATTTTAATGCTACAAATACAATCATTATGAACATAACTACTCCAATTTTAATTGCTGCATCTACTATTTTTGTTGTTGTACTTGTCTTCTCTTGACCTGCTTCATTTCTTGCTTCAACATGCTCTCATCTCCATGAATTGTGTATCAATGCCCTCCCTACTTTGAAATTCATAACCCGAACCAACATTATTTTTCTCAGCATTTCCCTTGCACCATCTCAATTTTTCATATGCATCACACTTATTATACAATCTTTTAGGATTTTTTTGCAGAGCCAAAGCTTTTATTGCAAATTTCCTCCCACATGAACAGGCTTTGTTTGGCACTCTAACGTATGCAGATTCATAGCATGAAGATGATGATTTAGAATGTGTAGACATGTTTGCAAATGAACTTAGAAGTGTGGCTGACATAAACTAACCGTTACAAAAATGGCAATGACTTTTTTTTTTTTTTTAATAAAAAAAAGTAGCTGCTATGATTTTTGGGTATATGGTGAAATAAGTTTTCACAAAGTGGGTATATGGTGAATTTGTAAAATCCCATAAACGGCAGCCTAACGTCTGTTAACAAAAAATACATTGTGTAGTATTGTGTAAAAACTGAATGGTATATGGTGAATTTGAAAACTTTTGGTGGTAATTGGTGAATTATGTTAAAACTCAGGGGTATTTCGTGAAAAAACCTTTTTTTTTTTTTTTTTTTTGGTTTGGTCAAACCTCTTTTTTGAATTTTTTCCTTTTAATTGATTTTCTGTTTTTTGAAAATTAATATCTTATTTTTCAAAAATCTATTTTTTATTTTAATAATTATATTATTAAAATCAGTTTCTGATTAAATAAAAAATAAAGATTAAATTAACAAAATTATAAATCAAAATATTGTTCTTCATTGTTCTAATGTTCTTCAATATTCTTCTTCCATTGATGAAAATAATTATCAATATCAGAATTTTTATCTCCTAAAGACACTCACGCATTATTGGAGATTGAAAATATGCCATGATCTACATAGTATATGTGAAATTTGAGTTCGCTCGAAATAGCGATTCGTACGAATCCAGGTTCAATTTAAATCTTAAAATAACACATTAATTAGATAATCGCAATCAAGGTCAAGCTAAGGATGCATAATCGTCATTTTTTTTGTGAAAAGAAAAATAATTCAATTTTTCGATAATCTTGGTTTGTGAGGCAATTTGGAGAAGAAGCCATATTTCTTTTTCGAAACATGCTTGATCCAAAAAAAAACGAAGATGAAATTTTAAAACCTGTTTGTGTATAAGGTATTCACTAATATGCTAATAGGACCTGTTTCGGGGTTTTCTGATGTCCTGCGGGAGAGTTACAATTCCGAGACTGGAACCGGACGCCTGTACCTGCAAAATAACGGAGACTCCTGAGAGCTCCGCCTCCAACGGTCAAGTTAGTACCTGATTAAGGAGTAATTAATACAGAAATTAAAGTAATAAGGTCTCTCTAGGTGAGAGTATTTAATGTAGGTAATCTGCTTTGCTAGCGAGATCAGCCGGTTATTAGTGTGTTCCGTAAATTATTCGGTCCCTTGATTAATGAGGATTAATCGAGTATTTATAGCCTTGGGAAGCGTGCAACTCTCTAGGTTTAAGGTAAACCTAGAGCCGATCGGGCTTCTAGACTGAAATGGGCCTTGATGGCCGGTTGTCCCATTTGGCATGGGTGGACACGTGGCGTGTCTTAAGTGGTCCATGGAGGACGCGTGGCGGAACCTGGTTGGTCCACTTGTCAAACGGTGCTTGGTGGATAAAAATCCCCTAATCATTTGCCCCTCACAGGTGGCACGCGACTGGTCACGTGTCGCCTGTGACAGGCGTCGCACGGTGACAGGCGACGGCCCGTTACAGGTGTCACCTTGCAGACGGCCGGGAGATTCTCCCGCCCAAATTTGAATTCGGAAGCGACCCTTCGCCTTCTCATTTTGCCTATAAAAGGAAGTGCTGACTTCGGTCATTTTCACATTTGAGAATTTTTGCGAGAACATTCGGACCCCTGAACTTGCTCTGACATTTTCGGACTTTTTCTGCCTACCGCCTGTTCTGTCAAGCCGACTGACCCGAACTTTCAGGACTTCATCAACTGTCATCCGTTCAGGTAACTCAATTCTCTTACTCTTAATTTTCTTTTTATTTTTTGAAATGGCACCATGGAAGCACACGACACGCCCTAAGTTAGTGATCAGCCGGTCACCGGGGACGGCTGAATCTAGGACTAGGAGTGCCGCCTGCCCTTTTCTGGACCCATCTTTGCCCTTTATTCAAAGTCCGACTGAATCTGTGTCTATGCAGAACGTGATGGCCAGAACAAAAAAGACTGCTAGAATATCAAACTCAGACGGCTCCTCCCAAAGGGTACTCCTTAGCGAAACATCTGACCAGGCGCCAGATGTGGAACGAGGCGACTGTCAAGCTGACAGTTCTGAGAGAGGGACCAAGGTGTTCCCTTCTCATCTAACCGTGGACATGTCCAATTTACCTTCTGCTCCTTCTAAGGGAGAGGAGGCGGGCCCCTCTAGGAGAGGGGAGGAGTCGTCCTCTTCGGACTCGTCAGGGGACGAGTCCGATTCCAGCTCTTCTGACCATAGTTCTTCTGACTCAGAAGAAAAACATAACCGCCTACAAGAGGCGAGAAGTTCCCATGCAGTGGAGAAGGGGGATAATTGGGCAGAGCCGTCCGCCTCTTACAGAGAGGAAAACACCCCCTACTACTGCAGGGTGCCCCGGGGCCGGATCGCAACCATGCGAGACAACGTGGCGAGCTTTATTGCTAACCACAAAATGAGCCCGGAGTATTTACTGTTTGTGCCGGATCCAGAAGATACTGTCGTCTGGCCGGCTGGTACCAGCTATGGTGACGGCTGTTTTGGCTGCTATGTGGCGGCCATCAAAGCTGGTCTGCGCTTCCCATTACATCCGGCTGTTCAGCGGATTTTAGATGGGTATGATCTGGGGTTATGGCAGTTAGCCCCCAACTCTTGGGTAAACGTACTCGGCTATGTGGCCGGGTGCGAACTGAACGGGGTGGAGCCAAGTTTTGAGGCTTTCGCCCACATGAACTATCTCAGCCGGACCCCTAAGTCGGGAGGTACCGGCTGGTATCAACTAACAAGCCACAGGGGTTACCTCATGACGAGAGGTAAGGCAAACAAATGGAAGGATTGGCGGAACACCTTCCTTATTATCGAGAGTTCAGACACGGAGCTGAACAAACGATTTAACAAGTGGAACAGGGATCCGCCTCTTCTTGCAGGCGGCCGCAGCATGCCGCCTGTTCCCCCAAAGGCTAAAAGAGAGATCCTAGACAAAGGACTCTTCAAAGTAGAGACTAGGGTGAACTCTACTTCAGGGGTACGAGAGCAAGTACCCCTACACTGCGTCCCGAGCTTCAAGTGGCTCTATGATGAGTACTTCTTGGCCGCCTGTGGCCTCGGCAGTCGGTGCTCTAGAGGTAGCCGGCCTGACGAATACTCTGTTTTTTCACGCCTTGTTTACTTGGGATTTTTACTAACTTTGCTGTTTATTTCTTTCAGCCGACGCCATGAGTAAAATAACAGCATCTAAGACTGCGGCGGCCATGCTGCGGGTTTCACTAATGAAGCAGTCGTACGCCGACTCCCCCAGCAAGGAGGCACCCTTGGTCAGCCTTGAAAACTCTTCCCCTTTAAGTTGTATTATGCATATACTAACTCTTTTTGTTTTCAGTCTGGCACTCCAAGGGCTTCTTCCTCGCAACAGCCGGACCCCAAGGCCCGGAGAACGACTGTTACAAGCTCTCCTGGGTCTTCCAGGAAAACAGTGGCGGCTGAGAAGCAGCCGGCCACTTCTTCAAAAACCCAGGCGGGGCCGCCTAGATGTATGGACACTTGCTTGTAAAAACTCACTCTTGCTTCCTTCTTGATTAGGTCTAACTTGTTTTTCCTTTTGCTTAATGCAGCCGGCCCCCAGGGACTTGACTTGGTTGAGGTAGCCAAGTCAATGGTTAAAGTAGTTCCTCCCTCTGACCGGGAGGCGGTCAAGGGTGCCGGCACCCTTGACCTCGATGGAATTTCGGGGATCCTAGCTGAGGTATACCCTTTTGAAGTTCCAGGACGCCTGTTAACCCTTTTGATTGGAAACTGACGCCTGTTTTTCTTTGTACTTAGGCCCTGCTCCGAGTCAACAGCCTTCGCAAGCCGATTGATCGGAAAAACAAAGAGGTAAAGGCCGCAAAGGCTATGGCCGCCTCCAGCTGTGATAAAGCAATGTTTCAAATTGCCCAAAATGAAGTACTGACCATTGAT